AAACAATAATGTACAGTATGTGGAAAACAATGTGTTTTTTAAACTTTAAACCGCATAAATACATTTCATTACACCAAATACACAAAATAATGTTCTTTTTAGCAGCATCATATGACCCCTTTAACATTTTTGTTTATGGGTCACTTTGCAAGTGCATGTCAACTTACTTTACTAACCCTAACTCTAACCATAACATTTACTGACACTCTGTTTAGTTGACATGTAGTTGCAAATTAATGACAGTTAGATGACATGTAGTTACAATGTTAGTTATAGTTAATAGAATGTGTAAAGTGGACCAGCAAAAAGCATGTGTGTAACTGGGGCAGTACCCTTTCAAAAAGTACAAATATGTACCATTTAGCTACTAATATGTGCCTTTAAAGTACTAATTTGTACCTTTTAGGTGTACCTTTTGAAAAGATGACAGCTTTTGTATCTTTTTTTCTGACAGTGTAGTGTTAATAGTCATTCTGTATTTCTGTTCACTGTCAGTTAAAATCACTTACAAATTAGACTTTTCTCTTTTCAGTAGACCTGGAGAAACATTTGAAAATAGCAGATAAAATGTCACAATTCATTCCAGCCCGGAATAAATCATTCCTATAGGCCTCCAGATCATTCCTAAAGGCTGTTCTGTAAAGCTAGCAACAGAAACCAAATGTGACGGCACTTAGTGAAGTTTTGCACTTGTTTCATCCATGAATGACTGCTTGCTTACACGGGAATTGTACTGTATGCTGCTGCAATTTTAGCATAAGTAAAGTTTATGTACACTACCATTCCAAACATCTGCAGTCAATTCATTTTTTTTTATGCTTTGAAAGAAATGTTTACTTTTATTTGGAACACAAATTGATCAAAAGTGACAGTAGACACTTTTACACTGTTGCAAAAAAAATATAATAAAAAATATAATGATAGATAGATCGATCAAGTGATCATATTTTTTGTACCTTCTCAATGTCAACATTGATAATAAGAAGAAATGTTTCTTGGGCAGCAAATCAGCATATTAGAATACTTTCAGAAGGATGGAGACTGGCTGCTGAAAATTCAGCTTTACCATCACAGGCACATTTTAAAATATATTATAATAGAAAAGAGTTATTATAATTGTAATAACATTTCACAATAGTATTGTTTTCACTGTATTTTTTTATCAAATAAATGCAACTTCGAGCATAAGAAACGTCTTCAAAACAAAAAAACATTTACACCTGGCCACCTATCCATCTAGAATGCATCTTGGAGGGCATTAAATTGGACCTTTCCATGATCAGATTGTGATCTAATCAGTAAAATCCTACAAAGTGACCAAGTGCACATGGGTCAATATATATGACAATATGAACATGTTGAACAAAGCAAATGCTAGCTAATTTCCCCCATCCCATATTCCCTCTCAGGCCCGATTCACTCCCTCGTTCTCCATATTCCTTCTTCCCCTTCAGTCTGTGTGAAGGACAGGATTGATTAGCATTAAATTGAGAGGAAAAGCATTAAAGTTAATCAGACCAACCACATTGTGGTTAAGACACGTTGGTTGGATTATGGATTACTATTAGCTGGATGAAAACCGATTCTTTCATTTAAATTCTGGGTTCCTCATCCCGCTAAAATGAAAAAGGAACTAATACTTCTTGGAAAGAGTTCTTTATTCTTCTTGCAAGCCCTTACTTCCTTTTTAATCTGACATGGAGACAGACTATATATATATGTATATATATGAAGAACCCCCAGCGAGAGGCATGCGTGTAAAAGATGACCTTTATTAAAGATTACAAGGGCAGCCGCCACAAAACACCGCTAGCCTTCAATAGGTTTGCGTTTGTTATATCTAAAGAAAATAAAGCTGCACAACACTTCTAAAAGATACGAGTCACTGCTGTATTACACATGCATCCTTCTCATACTGCCTGGAATAAACATCTGCTAAACATTACTCTGTCATTAATCCTGACTTTACTTTGCATATTATTGTGTTTGGTAATAACAGCAGCAGCAGCAACATTTTTTAATAATGGTAACAATTATTAATAATTACTAAAAAGGTAGTGCTGTACTAAAATGTATCTATGTCCAGCCACACAACACTATCAAGAACGTCAAGAGCTCATGAAATTATGGTATTACAAAAACTAAGCAAACCTGTGCATGAAACCTGGTACAGGCAAATATTAACTAAAAGATAAGTGAAGCAGCAATAATAAAATGCGGACCAATAATTATCATCATGTTATAGCTAATAACCAATAAATGGCCTGCGTTTACATTCTATAGTATATGAATCACAAATGAAACACTGAAAAGAAATAAAGCCATTTGAAATACTACAAGTGAATTTAGTCATCACAGCATAGAATGCACAGTATGAAAAATAAATAGGTATATGAAATACATTTAAAAATGCTAAAGCAGTGCTTTAAATAATAATAATAATAATACAACTTTAATTCCAACCAATAACTGATGTGGTAGTGATAAACGTTTAGTTTAGGGATGCACAGTATATGAAATATCACCTAGATCCCAGAGACTAGCTCTGTTCCAAAACCTAATGAGCTGCCTTGCTACATTATAACCACCTCATGGAACTGATTTGGAATGTTCTACATAGGAAACAAAACAAATACTCTGTGAGTGGCCTGCACTTTTTTTTCCCCCTAATGTGTCTTAATCTATAATGTGATACAAAAAATTATGCCCTAAAGTTTGATCAAAACAAGATAGCATAATTAAACATAATTTGTTATAGCACCTATGATGCATCAAATCCTTGCCTTTGCAGGCAGCGCACCAGGTTTGGGAAAAAAGCATTTCTATTTTCTCATATCTTGCTGAAACTAAGCAGTCTAAGATCCTCTGAGGCTGACAGATGTGTCTTGTCATGCAAGAGGGTTATATTTCAAATAAATAGTTAACACATGGAATTTTGTCCAGCTTGAGCCGAAACATGGCATTTATGGCCTGAATTGGTATGTTAAAGTCCAGCAGGTTAGTCTGAATCTTTGTATTTGTATCTGTGTGTATATATATATATATATATATACAGTGGGTACGGAAAGTATTCAGACCCCCTTAAATTTTTCACTCTTTGTTATATTGCAGCCATTTACTAAAATCATTTAAGTAAATTTTTTTCCTCATTAATGTACACACAGCACCCCATATTGACAGAAAAACAGTCTGTCTGTCTGTCTGTGTATGTATGTACGACAGTGTTTTACAATTTGATGCTGCTTCAGAGCAGCTGTGTGTGTGTGTGTGTGTGTGTGTGTATATTAAAAAAGAAATATCACATGGTCCTAAGTATTCAGACCCTTTGCTGTGACACTCATATATTGAACTCAGGTGCTGTCGTGCTGTCCATT